CATATATATATATATACATATACATATATATATATACATATATATATATATACATATATATATTAAAACCCATTTGGCTGATTGTTAATTACTAAGATTACATTATTTACTGAGAGATGTTGTGGGTAAAGTTGAGTCGATCAATCAAGTGATCTCATACCACCAGCATTTTTTAATGGCTTTTATTGACTGATAACAACAAAAGGCGACCAAATGTGTCCAGTTGTCACATAATTTATTTCCATCTGTATTGTAACAGCATACATTCCATGTTTATGATACAAAAAACTGTAATTTTGTCTCTTTGTCTTATTTTTATTTCTTTTTTTTTTTCAGCATATCCAATACATTTCAACGTACACTGATGCGTAAATCAGATTCAATGTTTCTTTGTGCATTTAAACCTCCTCTACCTCTCACTGTCTTTCCAATAACTGTGTTTGAAAGATTATTACCATTAGAAAGAAGAAAGTGTTCGATGTGTTGTTAACATCATTTCCTTCTTGTTCGTTAAATCTGGGAACAGCTCGAGTCCTGATTCTCACAGGGGGAATGTACAGTATGTTTAAGCCCTTGTAGCTTGTTTCCTTTCATTTGTTTAAACAATTTAGTAATAAAACATAAAAAATAAAAATAATCCACAGTGAGTGAATGCTCAGTTGTTTGCAAGCTGTGGTGGTGTTTTTGTGAGTGTCCTTGAGAGGGTGTGTCTATGTATGTGTGTACTAAACATAAATACACCAACGGCCGAGAGCAGCCGGAGCACAACAGCAGTTCACTTGAGTCACGGTGACAAGGAGTCGAAGGACAATGCTGTATTTTAGAAAAGAGAGGACTCGTCCAGGAGATAAAACGGACGATATGTCGGTTCTTTTGAAAGCAGAACTTATTGTGACCCATAAATATTTCACAGCGTTTGAGGCTCGCTCAGCTCTTGCTTGCATTTGTTGGTTAGTAGCAGGAGGAGGAGGAAATATCACCCTGTATCTGTTCTGGGACACTCTCCAAGGTAAGTGTGCAAGGGAGTGTGTGTGTGAAAGTGTGTGTATGGGTCCACCCATGTTGGGGTTATAATAAGACAGAGAACTAGATGGACATATTTATACCTCCGCTGATAAACAGGCAGGCAGCACCTCTTGTAAACATGCTGCTTTAAGAAAACAGAGGGAAAAAAAAAGGACTCTGACTGCTGGGAAAATATCAGAGCTTCAGAAAGACAAAAACCTGAACAGCGCTGGTCAGATCAGAGGGAAATCTGAGCTCTTCGGTGCTGATTAGAACTACACAAGATCAACTTTTGAATCTACGAGGGCAAACACCTACAGAAGACAGTGAGGGAGTGAACTCTGAGGGTGAAAAATTGAAAGAGATCTAAAGTGTGACAGGACAAAGAGGAGCAGTCATGCCAGGCTCAGGAGGAGCAGAGTGAGTGAAACAGCTGCTTTGTGTATGCATGCGTGTGTGTGTGTGTGTGTATGTGCTTAGTCATGCATGTTTCAATATGCAGTAAAACATTTTAAGGAGTAAAGACATTTTATCCAAAATGGATTTTTGTGTCATGAAACTTTGAATAATGAGAAATCACAGTGCAGCTGTTCAAGATCATAAAAATGTTAAAACTCCTGTACAGTGAATTATTGATAATCAAATAATATTTTCATGTTTATGAAATCAAATAGTTGCTATGTGCAGAGCCACACAGATTCTAAATACAGCACAGAG